AAGCGACGATATTAAATGCATTTTAGTTTTTTATTACTCTTGAGTGTGACTTAACCTGAAAACAATGGAGCATTTTTGGATTTTATATTTAATCTTGACATTAAGCTCAACAGAAGGAATATTTATCAAAAATATTCAGCAAGATCCAAATATTTCTGTAATTTCAAGTGTTCTTCATGACATTATTGACGAGTTTATCATAAAAGAAGTTCAGTTTTTGAAAATTTTGATGTGTGAAGTAAAGTCACAATTCCTGCTTGATGTCACGTACAACTTTATGTCAAAAATGAAGGAAAAATTCATACTTTTAATGTCGACTGAAGACGCAGAAGAGAAAATTATTTTTTACTACTCAGCCTTATTTTTTGTTGAGTCATTGGCCAGCTTTTCAAAAATTGAACAAATGTTTAAAGTCATGCGTCCATCTGACTTGTCAATAAAGTTGATCACCTTCATTCCAAATTTGACATTTGATCAGCTTTGGTCATCAATTGCTTATGAACTTTATCGACATTATCCAGACCTTAGGAAACCTTTTAGTACAGTTTTTGAACACATGTACTTTGTGACTAATGAGGAACACACAGTAACACTGTCGACAGTCGAGTGGTTCCGTCCAAATAGCTGTGATCAGCCATACTTGTCCAAATTGAACACTTACAACAAAACATCTCAAAAATGGACCTCAAAACTTAAAAGTTATGAAAAATTCTTCGAATACAACAATTGTGAGCTAGTCATGGTCCTTCCAATACAAAATCTTGATGGCTCGGTCTATCATGTTGGTGGTTATGCCGTTGTTGATTTTAATTTTACAAGTTTTATAGTTCGCGGCTTAACACCGGTCATTTTTGAGATTGCAGCACAATTTTATAACTTTACTGTTGCTTATCAACCAGCAAAAATGGATGTTCGTTGGCTTACACAAAAAACAGAGACGAATGTTGAGCTTGTTTCAATTAATGACCTAGAACCTAAGAATCCACATGTTTATTTTGAAATTTCACCACTCACAATCTCAAAAACTGACATAACCTTATCAAATGTCATTGCAAATTTTGATATTTTTATGTTTGTGACTCCAGCGGAGAAGTACACGCCGTATGAAAAGTTTATGCTGCCATTTGACATGCTGACATGGATTTTAGTACTTGCTACATTTATAGCTACATTCTTATCAATATTCATCATCAACCGCTTCTCTAAATCAGCTCAGAGCCTTGTTTATGGACACAAAGTTGATACGCCATTCTGGAATGTCATCAGCATCTTCTTTGGCATCTCACAGACTCGATTGCCAAGCAGGAACTTCTCGAGGTTTATTTTACTGATTTTCATTTATTTTTGCTTGATTTTTCGGACATGCTTTCAAAGTAAATTCTTTGAATTTATGACAAGTGAGCCTAGAAAGGAACCTCCAAAGACGCTTGAAGATCTGATTGACAGAAATTACACAGTTTATGTCATGAACAATACAATTACACTACAAAATGACGATGAAGAGGATAAAAAGTGGTAAGATCAGATGATTAAGCTTTAAAAGTGCTTAAATGCAATAAAGTACAATAAAAATGAAAAAAAAACTCTCAAGTTCGTCAAAATAAAAACGAAGATCCAGTAAGGCATACTCAAACAGCAAAAGTCGATTAATCGATCAGAAATCCGACATCAAGCCGTTATTACTCTGACATTGAGCCAGATTTAAATCTCTTTAAACCAGATCACAGACTCACTTCGACTTGGTTTTGGCTTTCTGATAGGGTAAACGAATTGTGCTGTTTGGGACAAGCTATATCCAGATCTAAAAACAAAGATCCAGTGGAATTAAGTTATATTGTGAGATTCAAATTTTCACGGGCTTAAAGTTTTTGAAGTAACCAGCCAACGAATCATACTGCCAGCCAGCCAACCAATCAACCATTTACAAACTTTGCAAAAAAAAATTAATCTTGTGCTTTATAATTATAGGCCAACAATCATTGAATTACCATCACCTCAATATGTTGATGCATTTGACACACAGTCGCTAAATTCATCAGCCAAAATGAGCCTTGTCGTGGACGAATTTTTCCTAAATTTTCATCAATCACAAATGAAGTTAAAAAGTAATTCATGGAACAAGCTTGAATATTTTGTTTTTAAAAGATCATTTGACGTTTTCACATTTAAAGGCTCAATGTTTTACTTCCGGATGCTTAATAAAGTTGTTAATGACTTGATTCCAACTGGAGTTATGAATCATCTGATTGAGAATTTCTACACAAAAAAGTTAAAATTTCTTAAAATTGCTGAAGATCTGAAAATTCTTGATGTTGATAACTTAGTGTTTGGTTTTAACATTTGGCTTGGATTTTGTTGCATTTCTGGAGTTGCTTTTGTGATTGAAGTCATTTTGGGGATAAAAATTTGTAAGAAAAACATGAATTTCGAGATTTTAAGGAAAAAGTTGACAAATCGACAGATTAAATCCGAAAAAGTTCATCCAATAAACAGAAAAAATCTTCATTTTACTTCAAAGCATCTCAACAATTTTAGAGTCAAAAAAAGTGTTAAATTTCAATTTACGGACAATCAGGATTTAATTTTTGGTGAAAAAATATCCAGCATTGATGAAATCTGAATTCAAAATCAAAAATTAAACCAAAAACAAAATGTTCTTATAAAATTCTGCAATTAAATTTATTTTTAATTTTTCATTTTTTTAATTTTTCACTTTTTTTATTATAAACATAACTTAGCATAAATATTTTCATTTCATCATAAATTTTGCTTTTTTATGATTTTTTTTTCTTAAAATTATTACTGAATTTTTTTTATAAAATTTTAAAATTATAATTCAGCCAGCAAAAGCAACTTTAAGAGTCTTTAAAGGGGTTCTTATGTTCCCAGCTGGAGTGTAGCTAGGAGAAGGGGGGTTCTTTGGGGTGACAAATTTTCCTATGTCAATAGAAATTAGAAATTTCTAAACTTTGCTTGAGTTATTTTTAAAAATCTTTAAAATTACCTTTCCCTTTTAAATCCTCCCCCCACCAATATCAAAGATTTTTTTAACCCCCACCCCCTTTTTTAATTCCTGACTGTGATGTTTTATAGTTTCAAAAGTCAATTTTAAAAATTGAAATTGGAAAAAAAAAATTTAAGAGAAAAAGTACGAAAAATTTTTAAAACTGAGATTCAAATTCACAGTAAAACCAAAAATTGAAAAATGAAAATTCAAAAACATTCATTCGAAAAATGAAAATTTCAAAAAATTTAAATTTGATTCTTGAGATTTAAAATTTTTTAAATTAAATCAATTTAAAAAATATCCATAAAGGAAAAAATTATTTCAATTTTAAATTTATCATAAATGTAGATTTATTTTATAAACAAAATATTCAAAAAATTATATATCATCATATTGAGATTTTTATTTATTTTTCAGAAATTAATTCTTCAATTAAAATTGTAATATTTTTCTTAATTAACAATTAAATTGACACTTTAGTGACATTTCAAATTTTTTATAGTTTATCATACAAAAACTTAATGTTTTTATTTGTTATAAATTTAAATTTTTAAACTTTTAATTTTTTACATTTTTTTCTTCAAATTATTAAAAAAAATCTATTTTTAAAGTTTGATTTTTTAAATTGCATTTTAAAAATGCTTAATTGCTTTTTTTGACATTAAATGTAAGGCGTCCGATTTTAGTATAATTTATTTTAATTCTTAAAAAATATCTATTTTAAATAACTTAAATTCAAAAAATTTTATTTTAGAAGAAAATTGAAAAATGTCACTAAAGTTTCAAAATTTTATTTAATTTTTAACATCACAAATTATAATCAGATAGTGAGGAATTTTTTTTATTTTTAATTATCATATTAACTTATTATAGGATATACAAAAATATACAATGGTCAATTATTTATGTTTTTTTTTTCATACAAGAAGTGGACCTTAGGTATTTTTTAATAGAAATAGTGAAGAAAAGGGGGAAATTAAAAAGAAAGATTAAAAAAACTAGCTAAATCAGTGTATATTGAACAACTTAGATCAGTGCTGCCCAACCTTTTTTGTACCACAGTACACTTGGTGGTAAGCCATGTTCACAGAGTACAAGGTTCATGGGATATCCAAATAATATTTCACGACACACAAGTTAGCCATCACTGATTCAGAGTAAAACAAGGTTAGGGGCTGTTCATAAATGACGTTCAAATTTAGGGGTTGTACCGGGGGAAGGAGGAGGAGGGCATTTTGTATTCTAACCGGCAGGCGCGTAACCAGGGGGATGATTTGGACAAATCTTTTTCATTTTGCTAGAAGTTTTATGAAAAAATCATAAACTCCCCCCCCCCCCCTTCCTTCTGAATTTTCCATATAAATTTTTTTTGTCCCCTCCCCTCTCTTTAAATTCCTGGCTACGCCCCTGCTAAAGGAGTAAGTGACACCATTGGAATAAAGCAGGGCTATCCGAACTATGTGCTGTAGAATTTCTTTTGGAAATGACTGTGTGCAACCTAGCTCATGACTTACGCCTAAGGTGTGCAGTGGCTCAAAAAGTTTGGACAACACTGGAATAAAGTAACATGAGTTTCCATCTTACTAAATGGTAAAAATTGAAGAAAATTATGGAATGAAGATTAACCACACTTTTGACTAATCAATTCGTCCATTCTCAATTCACCCTTGCTCAAAGATCTTGCTATTGTAGTTGGCAAAATAGAATGGATAGGGTAGGGGACTTATTAAGGCTGAGACATTGGGGGTTATTGAAAAAACCGGAAAATGATTAACTTTCTTCTTTAGATTGTAGTGATTTGAAAAAAAAATCATAAAAGGAAAGCTGAACCAGTCCAAATCTAGTCCCCAGCATTCGATATATTCCTAAAAAATATCAATCCTAAACTTTCAGTTTTTAAACTCTAAATGCCAATTCCTTAGTCAATAACTTCAATATCATCAATTTTTTACCCCCTTCCCCCCTTAAACTCCACCTTAACACTCCCCTCTCACCCCAACCCTCATCTACCCCAATGAAAATTACCCAAAATATTATTAATATATTCCTATTTACACTTAACAGACGCGTCTAGAAGTTTCTTCCACAAGTCAAATTCCTCGGGCGGTTTAATCATATGCAGACTCACAGATTTCTTTATATTACATGCATTAAATGCGATACGTCGATTGAGGAACTCATTGACTTGCACTCGTTTTATTTTGAGTGAATCTGCGACAATTCCTGTCGTGTAGACGTCCTCTAATTTCAAATATGTCCTATTTAGTGCTTCATTGTATAAATCCTTGACACAATCTCTCGTCATGAGATAGGCTGGACCGGTTGTGAATGGTGGAAACTTTAGTGGCTTATATTGTTCTGGACTGACGTAATATTTTGACTTTTTGTTCCTTATTGGCTTCCAATTCTTTGCTAGTCGTCCATAAATTGTTCTTTTGTCAGACTGCTTCTTTTCAATTATTTGTAGGAGTTTTGGGACATTAATGAACATGTCATCGTCTGTTTTGAGGATAAATGATGCTTTCGGACAGTAAACATCGACCCACTCGAGCATTGAAATTGTCTTAAGAGTTAGATTATTGTAACTATCTATAAATCTACCACGAATTATGTCATTATAAAGATCTTTCTCGGCTGCTAACGTATCATCCATTTGAGCACCGGCAGCACCGACAAGAAATGCAATTCCAATATCACGACGGGTACCGAAATGTCCCCAAGTTTGACGAATTGCAAGTCGATTTTCGCGATGTGCTGGTGCTGATGTGATAATAATGAGAAGTTTAATCTCTTCTCCGTCATTAATGCAGATTTGTGACGGTGAGTCGATGTGACCTGATTCATATAAATCACGAGTGATGACACCTTTTGATGTGTCTATCGAGGTCTTATTTGGTGGCAGTGACGGAAGAGATTTCTTGACTGGAGCCACAGTTGTGGTTGTCGTTGTTGTCGATGTCGTACTGGCTTTTGTTGATGTTGAGTTTAAATTGGCAACTAAATATGAATTTAAATGTTTAATTAAAGACTGTAATGTGAACCTGTAGTCTGAACCTCAAAACACTATTCTGAAGGCACCTGAATATTAAATTTCTAATGTGAAGGCACCTGAACATAAGATCAATAGTGTTAGGGCACCTGTACATTAAAACTCTTGTGTTAAGACACATGTACATTAAAATTCTAGTGTGAATGCACCTGAACATAAGATCTCTAGTGTAAAGGCACCTGAACATAAGATCAATAGTGTTAGGGCACCTGTTCATTAAAACTTAGTGTTAAGGCACATGTACATTAAAACTCTTGTGTTAAGACACATGTACATTAAAATTCTAGTGTGAATGCACCTGAACATAAGATCTCTAGTGTAAAGGCACCTGAACATAAGATCAATAGTGTTAGGGCACCTGTTAATTAAAACTCTAGTGTTAAAGCACATGCATATTAGAACTCTTGTGTGAAGGCATCTGAACATAAGATCACTAGTGTAAAGGCACCTGAACATAAGATCACTCGTGTAAAGGCACCTGAACACAAAATCAATAGTTTTAGGGCACCTGTTTATTAAAACTCTAGTGTTAAGGAAAATGTACATTAGAACTCTAGAGTGAAGGCACTTGAACATTAAAACACTAGTGTAAAAAGCACCTGAACATGACAACTCTATTGTAAAGGCACCTTAACATTTAAACACTAGTGTAAAGGCACCTCAACATTTAAACACTAGTGTAAAGGCACCTCAACATTTAAACACTAGTGTAAAGGCACCTTAACATAAGAACATTAGTGTAAATGCACCTACACAAGATATTAAACAATACTTACATTTCTGAGGTTCAATATTTACAATGCCTGCGTCGGCCTGACTCTGGTTAACTAAATACTGAATATATGAACTATTAACAGTACCCGCAGGACTCACTAGACCCTTAAATAATATATTGCTAATACTATCAACCTCTGAGTGCGGTTGAGATGAATTTAATTCTAAAAAGACAAAAAAATTATTATTAAAAGTCAAAAATTAATTAAGAGTGCAATTCTCACCTAAATTGGCACCATTAAGCTCATTTTTCGTGCTATTAAGCTCTCCCAGTGAGCTCGAAGTTTTTTGACGATGATGATGATGAAGCGCTTTCGTTATATGCGTATGCAATTGGTTTGTTAGATTATTGGTGCTGGCATAATATGACATAAGAATAAACAGCGCAAATGCACTAATTGAGAAAATCATGTAATGTGATGCACGAATTTGTGAAACCATTTTTGATGCTTTGTTGTTGTTGTTGTTCGATTCTTGTTCAGATTTCTGTCTTTTTTGAGATTGACGTTTTAGGTCGAGTGATTTTTGTTTTGTTCGAGCTTGCTGAATTAAGTTGAGATTCAACTTGAATGCAAATGTTGATTAATTGACGGTGAGTGTCTTAAAAAGTAAATGCTGGAATGAGATGAAATTGGAGGAATTAGTGAAATTTAAAAGTTATGCAATTATTTGATAATAATTTAGAGCAATGATGGCCAACCCGTGTGCTGTGGCACACTGATGTGCTGTTCAAAATTTGAGATATCCCATGAACCGAATGATATGTGCGATTTTGTCATGGCTTATCATCCCGGGTGTCCCTTGGCACAAAAAAGGTTCAACCTCTGATTTAACATTTTGGTGGGATTTGGAGTGGGTCGGCCGTAAAAATTAGGAATTTTCTCAATTTTTTTCGAATTAATATTCTAAAATTTTATCCACATAATTATAAACTTAATAAGAAATGAGAATTTAGTTTCAAAGGGGTTGGCTAAAAAAATTGGGATTTTTTCAAATTACTAATGTTTCAATGTTTGTAAATTAATTGAAAATATTTTTAATTTTAGTTGAATATTAATAGTTTAACCGATGAGCAGAGAGCAATAATTTTTTAGGGGTTGGCCGAAAAAATCAGGGAATCTTCTCAACTTTCCAAGTTTTAATTTTCCTTGTTTTTTGACACATCTTATGTTAAGATTTGCAATTCGGCCAATAAGTTTCCAACCTATCCTAGGATAATGAGCCACATTTCTTAAGTATTCAATATTCTTCATCAAAATCACACAAATTCTGTCCCAAATCTTCGCAACAATCACATTAAAACTCATCGCTAATTGAAGCCTAACAACAAGTATGCAAATATTGAACTTACACTACCAAAATGCCTAAAGATAATGAACATGTCATATTCGAAAGTGTCTACAATGAATGAATGAATAAATACCCAAAAAATTGTTGGAATATTATAATGACTTGAAAATTGGAATGATAAGATAAAAGGCATACAATGATTATTAAGCTGCAGGCTTATTGTTGTTTAAATGCAACAATAAGAGAATTGTAACATTGTTTGTGGATTGTTTTGACTTAGATAATATTGAATAAAGTTGAAGGAATTTTGTGTTCATTTACAATTGCTAGCCATGACTTCACCTTCCTACCCACTAGCTTTACAACCTTTTTAACCCAATTTCTTCTTCACATCGGAATTCATATCGATTCAATTACAGCAGTAGCTTGAAAAGCTACACCCTTAAATACTTTTACAACCATTCAATCGGGGTGGATTTTGAAGGATTAATGAAGATAATAAAGCTCTTAAACATAGCAATTTGAAGGGATTTGTCGGGCTTAAAGCCACACAGAGATTAAAATGTCAATGAATTTTCAAATATTTACACTTGATTCATCGAACGGAACTTATGCTTTCTCGCTATCGGGATCGGGATCGGGATTGAAAATCCCGGTTTTTTAGTTTAGGAAATTATTGATGTTTTAGAACCTGCTAAATACGCGACAGAAGAATTATTGCGTAAATCAAACGATTTATTAATTGCTGACGGAACAATTAACTTTTTGCTAGACGAATTGTTGCTACAAGGAACATTATTGTCTCAAAAGGTTTACGATATGAATTGCGCTCGCATAGGTGCACGAAGAAATGGAACATTAATTGACTTAATACTTTACCTGAATAATCCTCAATATATTTCTTTAGACAAGCATTTTAAATCGTCAACAAAAGCTGCAATACATAAACTTGGCATTGACTTATTGAAGAAGTATTTTGTCAAAAACTCTACAAATGGAGCTATGGAAGCTTCAACATCCAGTGCAAATCAAATCCAACCGTCAAACATTTCTATTCGAGATAGACTGAAACTAAGCATATCTGAATATACATCATTAACAACAGATGCAGCAGCAACAGAACCAAATAACTTGAAAAGAGAGTTTAATTGGTATGACAAAAATAAGAAGAGAACCGTTTTATTAGATCAACTTTACGATGCATTGATAACAATGCAGCCGACCTCAACTCAAAGCGAACGAAATTTCTCTATTAGTAACAACATTCTTACAAAACAAAGAAAACGTTTACTTGACAAGAATCTAAATGCAATTGCATTTGTTAAAAGTTTTTTCATTAATGCTTAATTGTTACTATTATATTCACACCGTTTTCTATAACCTTTTAACTTACATCTTTATCAACATTTATTTTCTATTTTTGTTTATGTTCATATTTTTCAAAGGAAACATGGATTAAAACATCTACCTTGTAACACATAAAGTATAACTAATTAATTAAGGAATAAATGACCGTATAAGTAGCAAAAAAATATATAATTTTTTTTGGGAAAAAAAGCAGAAAAATGCTGTTTTTTAAATTTTTTTACATATTCGGGATTCCCGGGATTTCCCGGGAAATCCCGAAAAATTTCAATCCCGATCCCGATCCCGAAAATTTGTCGGGACCGGGATTTCGAGAAAGCATAACGGAACTGATACATGTTGTGGAGATAGCATTACGTTGATGAATATTTAAAGGATGTGAAGGTGTGTTTTGGGTACAGTCTGATTTAATGCATGAAATTCACATTAATTGAAGGTTCATTTGATTATTTAACTAGCTCGTGGTGGTTTCATAATTAATTAATGATAAATTAATCACGCAGGTGAAATGGAAGCATTGACATCGTTGAACAAATAGCTGCAGGGTCTGTTTTACTGTATGTTGTGTCATGTTACTCAGGCGCGTAGCCAAGAGGGTCTTAAGCGTTTTAGACCATGCTCTCGCTATGGTTCAAAACGTTTAAGGGGGTGGGGGCAAGACCCTCATGGCTACGCGCCTGATACTACTTAATATTGAATTAATCAGACGTCACTGTTACAAATTTGCAATGTTTGCAACTTCCATTGAAGATTGTTTCGAGAAACTTAGTGAATTGACTTCATTAAAACTGCATTGGCCTCCCGAAAGAGGTTTGATAGACCTCTACAAACCCAAACATACTCAATAGAAACCTTATAGACTCCAAAGATACTCATAGACCACCACAAAATCATTTACAGGCAAAAAATCACCGTTAGATCTCTCATAGAGGCTCTGATGGGCTGGACATATTATGAGGAGACCATTGGAAGCTCCATTAAGTAATGTCTTTAAGTAGGACTTTGTAGATGGAAAAAGAGCATTTGGAAGACAAAATAACTAATGGAAATAGGCTGTTGATAGAGACAGTATTGCATTTGGTATGGGAAATTGGCAATCGGTAGCTAGCGATAGAAGCAGTTTTAGGCGGCATCTGAGGCAGGCCATGAATCACAACTGATCTGTAAGGTCATCGAAAAAGAAGAAGAAGATCTCTCATAGATCTCTCATAGATCTCCACATTAACCCTTATAATCCCTATCGACCCTTATAAACCCATAAAGATCCTCTTAGAACCTAATAGACCTCCATAAACCATCACAAGTTCCCCAATATTGTCTTAAATCGTAGGAAGTGTACCCGTGTTCTCAAAGCCCCATTCAAGAGCCACAATCAATCACAATATGAGTCTAAAAATGTCCAAAGTTTAATTTTAATTTCAAATTGTCCAAAAAATCATACTCACATATGTTGGAGATTCAAAATAGTCGGCATATTCCGTGGCCACATTGACCAAGTTTTATTATTTTTTCAATATTTTTGTTTCAATTCTTTTTGTGTTTTTTTCAATTCTTCAGATCTTCTTGAGATTAAAATTCTTTGTTTTTGAGGTTCTTTTAACTCTTTTGATTAAATTTAACAAATTTGTTGTGCATCCTTTTGCTGCAAAGTTTGTCAGCTTTCGTTAACAATTTCATTAAATACGTTGACGACGAGTCATGACTGCTCGATTGATGCTAAAAAGAGAGAGAATAAGAGAAATAATTGTAGACATTGAATGGAAATAAAAAAATTACTTTTTAACATAAAAAATTTACAGAACATTTAAATTATCTGATGATTATTTTATTGACATGCAATAGACAATGTAAATGAAATGTGAATGTTAATGGACATGTGTATGAAGGTGCTGTGGGACAGGTTTGGAGAAGTTTTTCTGAGGGTTAAGATTTCAAAACTTCAGTTTTTAAAACAATTTGGTTTAATACTTTTTTTAAACATTTTTCATATTTTTTGAACTTTTTGAATTTTTTGATTTTTTTTAAATTTTTTTGATCTTTTGATTTTTTTTTGAATTTTTTGATTTTTTTTGAATTTTTTTTTGGATTTTTTGATTTTTTTGATTTTATTTTGAATTTCTTGATTTTCCTGAATTTTTTGATGTTTTTGAATTTTTTGAACCTTTTTTTTCAAAACCGACACAGTTCTCCTCCCAACTCATCACACCTCGAGTCAACACAAACCCATCTTTACAATTTAATGACCAAAAATAAATTCATCAACCGTCTCATCGCATGTCCTTCTCGTCTACATATAATGTGAATATTATCGATGTTTTCATTGCAACACAGAAAATAGAAGTGAAACTCAAACAGAGAATAAAATGTGAAATGAAAGAACACAAACAATTGTCAATGTCCGAAAGGGAGTGCTGTCATTAATTAACAGAGAAAAATAATGTGATGATAACAGAATGAGTTACAGGAATTGTTTTGCAATGTTAACAAGTTTTAAGTCAGTCGTTGGTGTAAAAAAAGGTTAATTTTAATTGGTTTGTTGAGATATTTCTGGTTTGGCCGAAAACTTTGAAGTTTTGCGATGGTTAAAGACTTTTATTACGTAGAAGACAGCCTGATTAAGTACTAAAAAGACAGATTATGTACTAAAGAGCCATATAAAGTACTTAAAAGTCTGATTAGACACCTAAGAGACAGATTATGTATTAAGGAGCCAGATTATGTACTAAAGATCCAGATTAGACACCTAAGAGCCAGATTATGTACTAAAGAACCAAATTATATTCTAAAGAGCCACATTAGGTTCTAAAGAGCCAGATTAAGTGCTTGAGAGCCAGATTATGTACTAAAGAGCCAGATTATGTACTTAATAGCCAGATTAAGTACTAAAGAGTCTGATTAGACACCTAAGAGCCAAATTATGTACTAAAGAGCCACATTAGGTTCTAAAGAGCCAGATTAAGTGCTTGAGAGCCAGATTATGTACTAAAGAGCCAGATTATGTACTTAATAGCCAGATTAAGTACTAAAGAGTCTGATTAGACACCTAAGAGCCAAATTATGTACTAAAGAGCCAGATTAAGTACTAAAGAGTCTAATTAGACACCTAAGAGCCAGATTATGTACTAAGGAGCCAGATTATGTACTAAAGATCCAGGTTAGGCACCTAAGAGCCAGATTATGTACTAAAGAACCAAATTATATTCTAAAGAGCCACATTAGGTCCTAAAGAGCCAGATTAAGTACTAAAGAGCCAGAATAAGTGCTTAAGAGCCCGATTATGTACTAAAGAGCCTGATTAGATGAAAAAGACTAGAATTTGGTACTAAAAAATCCACAAAATTCAAAAACAGGAAAAAAATCAGAACAACCTCAAAAAAAAAATCTCAAAAACAATTTTCATTTAATCTGCAAACCAATCCAAGCACAATTTCACATTAAGCCAGCACAAAAAGCACATTTCTCTTCATGTGCACCACAATTTTGCATTATTTTAATTACATTTATTACCACACAGCCTTGCAATTACATCACAAAATAGCTTAATTGCTCTTCAAAACATTACAGAACATGCAACTTTGACTTTGTAAGTTTCAGCCACAAAGTAGAACTTTCTAGCAAAATACAAACAAATTACGTCATAATAACTTTACACAATCATCATCTCTTCTAGCACATACTAAAGTGCTTACGTTTGTTGCTTACGACAAGGCTTTGGATTTTTTTTTTCTGTAGAAATGTTCTTACCGTCGACTTCGGATGAAGCCGTACAAAAATAATGTGAAAAGAATTAAAATTATTAAATGGAAAAAAATTCTTTGGCGGATTAATTTTTAAATTGTGAAGAGATGGAATGTGATAAGTTGGTAGGCATGAAGCGAATTTTGGTGAGTTTTGTACTTGTTTAGTTTCAAAATCGAAGGTTTTATTTCGTTTTGAGAAGAAATTAATTTTTTGAAATTCAAATAATTCAAAAAAATCAAGAAATTCAAAAAAAATCAAAAAAATCAAAAAATTTAAAAAATTCAAAAAGCTCAAAAACATTTAAAAAAGTGAAAAATGTTAAAAAGTATAAAGTCAATTAAAATTTTTTTTTAATTCTATAAATGTGCCACAATCAAACCCAAGATGCGACATAACCTCAAAGAACACCGCTAATGCTCAAAAATTGCAGCCCAAAAATTCCTCAATCGAGATCAATAAACTTTCGGGAAGTAAAAAGAGCCAAAATAACATTTTTCTCTGTTCCTTTATTTCCAACATTTTTACTTATTCAAATTGTCTTCTTTTTTTTAATAATTCTCGTTTTCTTATTTACTTCCAGCCTTAATTCTCCACACCGTTGAAAAATTTACAAACTTGCCATGCCATGCGACATGATTAAAATATTCTCATTATTGTTAAACTTTTTATTTTCGTCTCTAGTTCAAAGTTACGCAAGCGGAACGGAAACGATCATTTTAATTGTGTGTGGATTAAAAGATATCAGCGGCTGATTCTGGTTGAGATTGGTTCAGTTCTCATAAATTATTTTAATTGATTCTAGTTTGTAACATAAAATGGTAGGCAGGCAAGCATGAATGAAAGCTGACACGAGAGCGTCAAACCAACCGAAAAAATGAGAGGGACTGATTGTGTTAATTATGAATTAGTCATCGATTTGTTGATGTTGTTGAGTGACTGACTGGGAATTTTTGTTCACGTGCTGCTTTGGAATTTGGATTTACTGAGAATTGTGGTGATTTTTTTTCCTCAAAGTTTAAAGCTAGTCATGTGTAACTCAAAAAAAACTTACACAAAAATTCAAAAAAATCAAAATATTCAAAAAAAATCAAAAAATTCTAAAAAAAATCAAAAAATTCAAAAAACTCAAAAAATTGAAAATTTAAAAATTTAAAAATTTAAAAAAAATCAGCAAATTCAAAAAATTTAAAATGATTAAAATGTACAAAAAAATTCAAAAAGTTCAAAAAAAATATAAATGCTAAAAAGATAAAAAAAAAGTTCAAAACATTCAAAAATTCAAAAAATCAAAAAACGATTAAAAATGTCAAAAAAACAAAAAAAAAGAAAAAAAGAAAAAAAGGAAAAAATTCAAAAAATTCAAAAAAATCAAAAAATTCAAAAATAAATCAAAAAATTCAAAAAACTCAAAAACTTAAAAAAACGATAAAAAATGTCAAAAAAACAAAAAATGATAAAAAATGTCAAAAGAACAAAAAAAAATTAAAAAAAGAAAAAAGGAAAAAATTCAAAAACTTAAAAAAAATTCAAAACTTTCAAAAAAAATCAAAGTTTTTAACATTTTTTATAACAAATAAAATTCACCAAGCCCCGAAGCAAATTCCAACGGTCCGTTATCTTCACGAATTACGCACAAACTAACACAATCCGTCACAAATATTTTTCAGTTTCTCATTTCATCCGCAATCCCCACAGACTACTCAACATCTCCAACCAAATCACACAAAAAAATAAAAATTCAAAAACAATCAAAACTTATAGACGTGAAAAAGTCGGTAAACAAGAAATTTCTCGATATGCATGACAATTTTGATATTTTTATTTCTATTTCTTTCCTCGTCTCAGCGCATTTTTTGAGTTCAAGGTCGCAACTCCTGTTTTTTTTATCAAACGATTCGCATAAATTTTTTTTGCTGATTTATTTTATTATTATTTGCTGTTACATCGTAATGTCACGTTCTTTATTCTAACTCGACCGTTTAATGACTGCAAAAATAAAAGTTTTTTTTATGTTCTTTTTGTGGGAATAAAATTTAACTTTTGTGGCTTGCGAACTTGAAAAAAGTTTACTTTGTGGATTAAATTGAGTGTTCTGGGTCATTAAATTAAGTTGAATTGCAGTAATATTGTTGTTGGATTGGATGTGCTGCGAGTTTGGTAATATGTTAAAAGAAATTTATGTGTTACTGGAGGCATGCATGTTAAGAACAACAGGAAAGATTTAGAAAGGGAATTTATTGATTGTTTCCGACAAGAAGATTTTGTTTCTTTAGTTTATAGTTGCTTGATTAGTGTTTTGCTGAATTAAAAGTGTTTTGTTAATATTTGCTCAGCTTTTGCTCAAGATTTGACTCAAATTTGCTTGGATTTTTTGCTCAATTTAAGCTTGGTTTTCTCAGCTTTGCCCAATTTAAACACAAACTTTGCTCCATTTTGCTCATTTTTTGCTCAGCTTAGCTTTGCTCAGTTTAGCTCAACTTATACATAAGTTTTGCTCAATTTTGCTCATTTTTTGCTCAGCTTAGCTTTGCTCAGTGTTGCTCAGCTTTGCTCAGTTTTGTTCAGTTTTGTTCAGTTTTGCTCAACTTAAGCTTAGTTTTGCTCAGATTTGCTCAGTTTTGCTCAGTTTTGCTCAACTTAAGCTTAGTTTTGCTCAGTTTTGCTCAGTTTTGCTCAACTTAAGCTTAGTTTTGCTCAGATTTGATCAGTTTTGCTCAACTTGAGCTTAGTTTTGCTCAGATTTGCTCAGTTTTGCTCAGTTTTGCTCAACTTAAGCTTAGTTTTGCTCAGTTTTGCTCAGTTTTGCTCAGTTTTGCT